TCACGAAACCGTAGAGAACCCTTCAAACGGACCATCTTCGGTTGCAAAAACCTCTTTGCAAAATGGCCGATGACGTTTTGTCTATGTTTAAAGAATAAATTATTTTTGGAGAACGCTTAACTCAAACTAGTTCAAACTTTTATCTTAGATAGTACTCATAACAAGACAGCTCTGGTAAAAATTTAAGCTCATTAGCATTTGATTTGACGGAGTTATAGCATAAGCAAAATTTTCGACTGGAAAATCGCTTTTTTTCCGTATTTTACGACCTTTTTTGCAAGCACTCTAGCGGCAAGGGAAAGCATTTTGGAAAAACATGTCAAGAGACAAAAATGTTCAGGACACATTTCTCTATCTGCGCTGATAATTTGAGAAAAATCTGTGACAGTGGATTGAGCGCGCTATGCTGGAAAAGTGCGTTTCTATCGTGCACTGCCTCCTAGAAAGAACAAGCGAGAAATATAATAAAGCAAATTCATCATTTATAGATCGTCTTTTTATTCTCACTCGAAGAATGGCAACAAACTAAGTTGATCTTGCAGAGGATTTTTATTTTGCATGTCGTAATAATGATATTGATAAAGTACAAATGTATCTTCGAACACTGTCATTAGATGTTATTAATCGAATAGTATCCAATGGAAGTACCGCATTGCATGCCACAGCCTATTATGGCCATTATACTATTGTTAAATTACTATTGGAACGCGGTGCTCTGCGTGCACAGCAGAACAAATCTTATCATCTCACACCGAAAGCAGAAGCAAGCAATCCGGAAATCAAAGCATTATTCGATCGACAAGAATATTCGAATGAACGCCGTTTCGGTGGCAAATCACTTAATATTGGATGGATTGTCGCTGATCCTAATATACTGGAACGAGCAAGCAAATATCGAAGACGATTGGAAAAAATGAGTAATAATCTAAAATATTCAGTGAACATAATTGTCCAGGAATACATTAATAAACTACCATCGACGTCATCTGTTGACAATAACACTATAGAATGTCTTCGATTATTATTTCGTCAAGCGCGTGACAACGATGATCCTATACATTGTGTTAAAGCGTACACAATGCAAAGTCTATTTTATAAACGTTTGAATGAAGACTTGGCAGAAACATTGGATCGAGTCAAAAATATGATAATAATTGCAGGAACTTCATACCTTTATTTGTTGATATTTCGACCTTTAACCGGTCATTTTCAAAAACATAAATAGAATAACTGTACAAATGATGAAAACAACTACTATCTTTCTCTATTCTTACTACGAAATACAATAGAACGAAAAAGAGAAAATTCAAGACTAGACCGATACTAACTTTATATATGCGCATATATAAAAAAACCATGATCACTTTATCTATGCAGTGATGTGTATGCATTTTTTTATTTTAATCTTTTATAACTGACTTTTTCTGGTGGTATTAGTCTTCCATCTCCAATTGTTTTCTTTTTCTCTACACCGTCTGGTTACCAAGTAAATAGAGTAATATATATACACGTAAAGGTGAGATAAGAAAGCCGTGTGCTTTTCTTTTTCTTGCTATTTTTCTTCTACTCAGTATGGGTGCCAAGGCTTTTCGAGTCAAGAGTTTCCCCCCATTACATTTGCACGCAAGGTTCGTGAAAAAGGATACTCCTTTTATGTGATTTTCAAAAAAGTCAGTTTTTCCGTTTTATTTTACACACGGCCTTTTTTCAGATCCAGTTTTGTATTATATTTAGTTCGCAGGGAGCATTTCAAAACGAGCTTTGCGCCACAAGGTTGAACATTTGACCTTCTCGATATATTTGCTCATAACCTTGGTTCTCTTTATACGTTCTCCAAAACCTCGTTTGAAACAGCTCACAAGCGTATGCCCTTCGTGTTTTCCGAAACCCACGTCCGTAGGAACATCGTCGAAATAGTTTCTTCAAAAAAAGAGTAGCCAGAACTGATATGTGAATTTAAAAATCTGCCATTTCTCTTTTTGTTGCTTAAGTTACGCTCTTGGAATGTCGAGAAACATTTCACACGAGCTGGATCCGTGCACTTTTACAAACAGCAAAACGAGTTTTTTCATCGGCAGGTAAACAGAATTTAAAACAAGAACTCGTTAGTTCCAGCTCTGTCTCACGTCGTATTTGAAAGTTAGTTATAGAGCGCGCAGGGTATTGATATAACTGATAAAATAAATTAGTTAGAAAAAACATCTACAAGAGAAAATGCTGTTAGACTTTTAACCTTCAGGAGAAATCTGATACATAGGGTTCCAGAGAGTTTTAGATTCCCTAGCCTCTGACTTTTTTAAATTTCTTCGCTCGCAAAGTGTTTTAAACTAGGACAAACGAGCCACAGCTAGCGAGAAGTATTTTGCTTGTACCTATGTCATTTTGCTTTATCTAAGAGAAAGAGCGCGAGAGAGAATCTTTCTCAGCAGGTAATGCAAGGATGATTTCGTGAGATTATTCTAGGTCCTTTCGTTCTGTCCAAGGTTTTTGGTCTCTTCTAGTCTGTTCCTTTCAATGGTCACTTCTCCTGATGATGACTTTTGAATAAAGTCGAAAGCTCGAGTTTGTCATAGAATGATTCGCCGTGCGGTTTTAGATTTCTTCACGTTTACCGCAACTCCTTCAAATTATAGTAGTTATTAACTCTACTTGCTTTTTAGAGAAAAGAACCTTTAGATAATGGATCGATTTAATACGTATGAAGATTTTGTGGATAACGAGGGGGAAGATATCGATTTTGACAGAGTACCATTGTCGGAAGAAGCGCAATCAATAATTGCGGAATTCAATGAGTTGCCACCGGTAGTGCAGATGATACTAAGCGACAGTAGTGTGGTGCAATCTTTTGTAAGCGGAGGGCTTGATAGTCTTTTTACATATATAGAAGATAACATTTTACCCGATTTACACCAAAGACTCCGAGATTCATTCTTATGGAATCTATTTGAGGATCTAAGCAATCCTGCTATGCAAACATGTACGGAAGCAGAAATATTTCAGTATACAAATACTTTGATGAAAAGGTATAGCTTACCCGATACAATATCTAGAGGAGAAGATGAAGAATTTACGGCAATGTTTCTTAACACCTTGATGTCCGGAAGAAACGAGTTTTTGATTAATGATTTTACAAGATTCTGTGACTTCAAAGATTACTCTCCAGAAGCGAAGGAAGATAAAATTAATAAACTAGTAAACTTTACTAAAAAATTTTATAGAGTCCGAAATTTAATGGTTACGGCTACTTTTTTCCAAAAATACGCTCCAGGAGTTCTACGTTATGGCGTTCTGGAAAATTATCAATTAAGAGAAACGTGCAAACAGCAGCAGGATGTTATTAACGAACAGCAATCAGTTATAAACACCTTAAAAGCTGAATCCGGTATTGGAAAAATTAACGATGGGAAGCTAAATGATAATTCAAGCAGGATACTTTCTGCTAAATTTGAAGAACAAAACAAATTATCTACAAAGAAATTTATCCGTTCTTCTTCCTTTCAATAATAGACACATGATGCAATGGTGAAGTTTGGAGGAATATTCAAAGAACCGCTTTATATATTTTTACAACAGCTACAAGTTGCTGTCTATCTGATTTAGCATGTTTATGTTTTTAGCAAATTACTGTCTTTTTATTATTCGTAATTGTACTAAAGTCCTTTTTTCGACTTTCGTCAAAACTTGTAAAAACAAAATTGTTGCTAGTATGAAACTCATGAGGGTAGTCCCGTATGAAACATACCACTTTATACAAAAGTGATTACGCCAGTAAGAAAACACAGATTTCCTGATGCAGTTTTGGACGTTAATTCCAACCGTGAAAACCGCAGGTCCGTAACTGACTAGGAAAAAAAGTTATAGTGAAAATATTTTTATAAGGAAAAGCGGGTTTTTAGCCCTTTTCCCAGCCAAAGCGCCCCCTGTTGCAGAGTTTGTTGTAGCCGAAGGACGTTTCGTAGAACCTTCATTTTTACGCCAAATGAAAGAGCACATCGAGTTCTATATAGACACATGAAATTCAGTCGTGTACAAGAACTTTATGAGAGACCAGGATTTTCCAGAAATCCTGTGAGGTTTTCGGAAATACGAAAACCTAATTTAAGACAGCCGGTCGATAGCCCATTCAGTTTTGTGCAAAATGAGACGTAAACCAACTTTTTAGAGCATTCCTGTCGAATTTTAGAGCAGAAATACTCAGCGAGCCAAAAATCCCTAAATATTTCAAGCTTAGTTAAAATATCCCTAGGCGGCTTTGACCTCGCTGAGTATTTCTGCACTAAAATTTGACAGGAATGCTCTAAAAATTTGGTTTACGTCTCATTTTGCGCAGAATTGAATAGACTATCGACTGGATCTCTTAGATTAGGTTTAGAGGGATCCGAAGACCCCACAGGATTTCTGGAAAACCTGGTTTTCGGAAAAACCTGATCTCTCGTAAAGTTCTTCCGCACGACTGAATTTCCTATGTCTATATAGAACTCGATGTGCTCTTTCATTTGGCGTAAAAATGAAGGTTCTACGAAACGTCCTTCGGTTACAATAAGCTGTGCAACAGGGGTCGGTTTGGCTGGGAAATGCCTAAAAAATCCGCTTTTCCTTATTAAAATATTACGACTATAACTTTCTTCCCTAGTCAGTTACAGACTTGCGGCTTTCACGGTTGGAATCAGCATTCGAAACTGCATCAGGAAATGTGCGTCTCGTCACTGGCGTAATTGATCGATGTAATGATGGTAGGTTTCATAGGGGACTACCCATGATAAGCCAGCTGACTGTGTATCCTTTCTCTTAGCTTAAAAGCCAAAAAATCCACTATTCCGGATTTATCTCGAGAAGGGAGAAATTTCACATTAATTTCTACCGCTGGGAGGGGACTAAGTCAAAGGCTAGCGGACATAAATGACTGGATAACGATATGGATCAGATTTACTTGAAAGGCTGTAGGTTGGCGATGAACCTTTTTATTTTATTTTTCATGCCGAGTTTTCCAAAGATGATTTTACTTATTTATTTGGTCTGCTCGGAGTACCCTGGAACGCTCTATAGCTAAAGTTATAGAGTCGAGACAGGATGAAAAAAGAAAACAAACTTACCGCTAGGCTTTGGTTCTGTCGATCTGTCAACATTTTGAACGTATCCGTATCGCTGTAGTGCCGATTCATTTAAATTTGACTCCTCAATCACTTCATGCCACTCTTCCGGTCTTACATGTTCGAAATCATCTGGTAGAGATCTGCTACTTCGAATTTCCTCCACAGAGTAAGTACGCTGAGGTATCATCGAAATTTGATGTGCAGTGGCAGTGGCGGTACTCGTCGGTAAAGTTTGTTGACGAACGATTAGAGGTCGTTGTTGAGAGATGGATGGTGAAGTTGGAGAAGGAGTATTTGGCAGTTGAACTGGATACTGACGTTGGAGAAGAGGTTGTTCAGATGCAGCAAGCTTTTGTTGAAGGAGTTGTTGAGGCTGTGGTGGACTCGGTGAAGAGGTTGGTAAGTGTTGTTGATACTGTGGCAACGAAAGCTCTTATACTGTAGGTCGCTGCTCAAATGGCTGAGAAAACTCGCCTGCTTGAGTTTCGTATGTAAGTGCACTCTGTGGTTGAGCTAACTCACTTCGTTCAGTTACATTTCGCATCCAGTCATCAGATCGCTTTAAGGGCAGGTCATATCACCTATCTTCTTTAGAGAATTTCGATGTGAAGGGCAAAGTGAGATATTTACGAGCTGAAAACTGTGCGTTGTCTACAATTTCCAAGTTCCTTTCATTGCATCCTTTCTATTGACTTATCTCCTTTGCGGCTTAAAAAAAGAAAATCGTAGTTCGAGTGGATCAGCTGCTCGAATTTCGCCATATTGTTAGTTGTTTGTAGAAAACCTGTACGTTTTTTAGCTATTTATGCATTTTCTTTATGTTCAGAAAAAGGAATTATCTGGAAGCCCGTTTCGCCGACGTTTTTCAAACCTATTGGGACAACTTGGTTCGTATTCTGATTTTTATACGTGGTTTAGTTAACTTATCGCGACTTGACTTCTGATTATTCTGCCAAACACTTTTTCTTTAAAATTCGACATAATTCGCTTGAAAAACGGAGTTTTCAGAGGTTCTCCATATAACTCGGGAAAGTAGCCGCATCATTGTAAAAATATTGCAGCTTTTGAGATGTTTTGTGTAGAGCACATGGTGCAAATAATCATCCTACCCTCTGAGAATTTTCGCTGTCAA